ACTGCTGGGGAAACATTCTCAGCTGTTTGAAGAATTGAATTAACTATCAGTAATTTCCATGGGGTAGCAATGTGCTACCACTGCTCAGTGAATTTGGATGACATTTTACCCTGACATAAGAAAAGACCTTTGGGGCAATAAGTCTAATAACTACTCTAGGCACCAATGTGTTCTTATGCGCAGATTTCTCACTTCATTCTCACACACTAAGTGCTTGCCACAGTTCGATTCTGGGCAGCCAGGTGGGGTGGTGGTGGTGATGGTGAAAGGGCTCAGTAGCTGTTCATCTCCTAGTTTTACTGCCCTCTTGTTTTTTTTACTTCTAATTGTAGGTCCCAAACCAGAGCATGTAAAGACAGAAAGGACAGGAATGTAGGCTTTATCTCTAATTTACCTTTGCAGGGGTGGGGGAATTTGTTGAAGTTTACCACTGGAACAAAAACTGACCAGTAATTCATAAAAGGAAACATTGCAATCACAGAGCATAATTTCAAAACACAGTGTAATTTTTAGCTGACTGTATGAGACCAACTTAGAACAAATACCAGTGCAGTTGAGTGGAAGGCACGCATCATTTGAACCATGGTTGTCTGGGATGTTGTTAGAAATAATAGCACCATGGAGATACTATGTTGTTAGAATAAATCACCATCTGCTTGGACAAATTTATTTTTTGCTGGATTGGACAAGGAGAGGTATTTACCAGGGTGATATTATTTCTGCTGGAGGTCATCTTGCAGTCTGGTAGAGCACTAGATTCTTTAGATTGAAAGTTTAAACCAAATCTTCAGCAGTAGACCACTTAGTATATGCCACATTTAGGCTATGGAGTCATTCTGTGTTTTAATAAAAATGTATTTGTTAATCATCTCACTCATAATTTAAAAGTTCAATCACTTTTGTTATGCAAATGTGTTACCGGTTTTATCACTCCAGCCACTTTCAAGTATTGATGAACACTGAGTATAAGGTTGGACAAGAATGATGGTCTAAACCAGCTAATGGACAATTATATGGAAATAAAATTCTTAGCTTGAGTTTCTGTAGACAAAGGAGTTATTCTTTTCATCAGAACAGATACATAAAGGCAGGTAGGTTTTGGTTACCCATCAGTGAGCCAAAGAGCTTTCAGATAATTTGCCAAGTTCAGAGTTGAAAGCCTATTCTTGTTTCCTGAGTTCAAAAGTCTTCTAATATAAACTAGAAAGCTGAAAAAGGCTTCTATGATTTTTACAGAACTTCTATACCTGCTATGTTACATAAGGACATGTCAAATAGCTTATGGAGAGCAGTTGTAAAATCCATTGTGTCAGGTGGATGAGACTTTAAATGGTTGTACTGATTATACTGGAAGTCTAGCTAAATTTTACTGAAAACTTCGGGGAGAGATGAAGGCATACCCACCAGTTTACCATAGAAAATTGCATAGAAAATCTTGACATTTAGCACAAACTGCTGCATTCTTTGAATTTCTATAGGTTATGTCTAAAACTATTTTGGTGAGTTCAAGGGATAAATCATCTCTGTTAAGGGAAGTGGGTAATGCTCAGAGAGAAACCATTGTGGAAAGACGTACCACACATACCATATTCTACAGTTTTCTGAAATACTGCATCTTTTTAATTTTGGAGATGATGGAGAACAGAACTAAATCAGGCAAGAAAATCACCCCATATTTTATTTCGTCTTAATGGCAATATTACAAAAAAGGGCTCCAAGAGCCCTACTGAGGGCAGTTCTCCCATCCCTAAAAATGAAAGCAAATCATTTCCCAAGCCTTAAGGAGTGGAGACGGCAATGTAGTTTGATTAGGAACCATATAATGCATATTTTTCTGTAGATACTTGTTAGCTTAAGAAAAGATGTGTTGCATTTGACACTTCCCAGACACATAACCTGCAATGTATATTTCTTCTTGCATATCTCTCACCAAAGCCACACAGAAACTAAATCCCAAGAACTGGATAGGAATGTTCCTGATTTTCAGGGAACAGAGAAGAATAGATGTATTTCTGAAGTTTAAATTTCCTGGAATGCCAGAATTTAGAATTTTGTTTGGATTCTGATGGATAGGGCCTAAATGTTATCAGCTAAGCTAAACCTGATCGGTTGGCTGCAAACCAGTAGAGAACTTTAAAGGTTCTCCACTCTTCAGGTACTGAGAAAAATAAAAGAAACAAGGGTTAAAACTAATGAGGATGCATCAAAGTATTTTAATCTAATGTTTTATGAATATTAAGCCCTCAAATGTTAAGTGGAAAAAGCAGTATCACTTCTTTTGACATAGGTGGGAGTTTGAATCTCTTTTACTTAGTCCAAACTCATGTTGTCAACATTGTCTAGGATTTCTTGCAAATACTACCTCCAACACAGAAAATTTAAAATAATTTCATTTAGTTGTGAAACTGTGTTGATATTACAGATTTCTGGTCTATCACAATTGTTAGCCACTATTAAGGACTAAGAAAATAAGCAGTATGGAGGTGTAGTAATAGATTTTCCAATGTGATTAAATGCTTAGATAGTGGAAACATTTCTAGCAATAATGATACCACAACATCTACAGCTTGGGTGAGTCTGACCTTTGGAGTTAAACATCAGCCAGCAGCTGGACTGGAATTTCTGGTATGTTCCACAACATATATGAAATATTTGATTTAAAAACTTAAATGTCTGCATCCTTATGTCATGATTTGGGAATGGTATTCTCCACTTTAGTACTCACACTAAAAAAGCCTCCCATGCTCTCCTCCCCCCACCTCCAGCTGGAGGCACAAAAGTCACAGCTCAAGGGTTGGGATAGGAACAGTTTACTGAAAACAGCAATGAGATAAGAAAATGAACAGGAACAGGAATAGGATAAACAGGAACAAGAATATGAATAACAGAAGTCTGCAAAACTGTAGGTATATTGCCATGTTTTCTGAAGCGCTGCAGACAAACATTATGGATGTGAATCAGTGTTTTTACATGATAAGGACCTAATTCTGTCCAGCATGTGTCCTACTGCTGCTGTCACTAGAATCTGTCATCTTTGGTCAAAATTTGTCTCTAATGCTTCTTGTGTTTCAAAACAGTTACATCAAATTAAACAAACTTTCCAACATCTTTATAATTTGTGTTAAGAAATCACACCATGTTTCATTCCCTGTACCATCATATAATAATATGTCAGGAAAGCATAGATGCTCCTGGTAAAATTCAAACCCACTCTGAAGACCAAAGGACTGGCAGTTGAGAATCCAAGAGCCCCACCAAACATGCTCCCAACCATTTCAGGTGGCCCATGGCTGGGATGGAAACTTGCTCCATTGTCATAGGTATGTGTGAAGTTGCTATTTTGCTTTGCTAGGGTAAAAGAAGGAGGGGCAGAGCAACTGACAAAGCCTGGATCTATCCTGTAGTAGTTGCTGTGCAAGACATGGTGGTCCTTGGTCTTTAAAACTTACAGACTAAGGCTGGAGCGGATGTAGCTTCACATGGATATAAATTGGGTTTTATCAGCATTTCACATAGCTCAGAAGGATATGTGCTGTGCCCAGCAATACTTCTGCCCTTAAGTGCTTTCCCTCCCTCCATTTTCCCAGTACATCTGTCTTGTTTTGGAAGACAGGTGTTTGCTAGGGAAGGCAGGAGCCTTCCCTGGAATGAAAAGTGTAACCTACCTCCCTTTGAATTATTATAATTTTGAAATTAAGGGGTTCTCAGGCAAAGATATGGGGATAGGAATAATAGTTTTTTATTAGTATGCATAACAAGGCAAACAAATAACAACTATGGCATTAATAACAAAACAGAACCAGGGACCCCTTGACAGCCTTCTCGGCCGAGACAGGAAAGGATGGAAGAGAGGCTTTGCTTCACAAACCCCCTGTGGGCAGTCAATCCCTGTGCTCCTGCAGGGCTCTGAGGAACACCCTGCTGGAACGGCAGGAATGAGCAGAAATCCCAGGCCAGTGGATAAGATGTATCAGAAGCTCCACGGCAGTGGCTGGCACTGCAGGATGTCCTGGCAGGACAGGGGGTGCAAGCACCCACAGAAGAAGAAGAAAATGAAGACAAGGAAGACAATGAAGACAAAGAAGAAGGAGACAATGAAGATGACAACGAAGATGATGATGATGAAGACGACGAAGAGGACAAAGAAGAAGACAAAGAAGAAGACGAAGAAGACAAAGAAGAAGATGACAAAGATGAAGAAGAGGAAGAAGACAAAGAAGAAGATGATGAAGAAGAAGAACAAGAACAAGAACAAGAAGAAGAAGCTCTGTCCTTAGCTGCTGCTGCCCTCCCTTGTACCTGCAGTTTCCCTTTCCCCTGAGCCCAGCAAAACTCTTTGTCTTCTCAAGCACCCAATAAGTACCAGCAATCAGGTTTCCCCACAACTAATGGGGAAAAATTCTATTGGTAAGAAAAAATAAAAGGAAGAATACATAATCCCCAACAATACCCCACAATCAGTTTAAGGGAAAGGTTATCACAATGTTACTTAGCAATTCAGGTGTAAAACAAAGCTATTGCTGCTAGGCCTTCTCAGACTGCCTCACTCAGTGAAGTGGAGAACAGGGTCCTTTGTCACCACTGTCTGGTTGGAAGCAAAAAACGCAGAAAGGAGAAACAAGCAAGAATTGTCCTGCACAACACCTTGTCCTGTCCTTATCTCTGCACATGCCAGACCAAGGAGCTGTCTGCATAGAGAAGAATGTGTTCAATGTGTTAAAATGAAACCACTTAGAGCAAAAAAAGAACAAAAAAAGAATCCCAAACTTTAGTCACAATCCGTTTTCTAAATCAGTGTAGTTGTGGTTTCCCCTTAATGCAGAACTGCAGTATGACTCTAAATAGGCTATGCAACAAGTAATGAGTGGAAAAGCAAAGTAATATTAACCATTGAGAGATCTTTAGTATAGTAAAGAAATTGTTTTTTCTCAGTAGGTAAAGCCATGTGATTTAAATCACTCAGTATAAGGAGAAGACACTTGGCAGCTTGGTACCTACTAATGAAGCCAATAATCTACCCTGCTTTCTCCATTTTTCTGGCTCTCTTTTTGGCCAGATTCTTTGGCATACACATCAGTTTTTCTGAGAAATCAGAAGAACCACATGCTAATTTTGACTGAGGAAAACACAATTTGCAACTGCAGCTGTTCTGTGGCTATCCATGACTGTGATTACTGCCTGGCAAACTTTATGTGCAACTGCAAAACAGTGCTGCCTCCTACCATGGAAAAAAACTACCTACAACAGCCACATAAGCATCTGGTTCACAGACACCTCTGTGCTGGGGATGGTCCTCAACTTCACAAGGGTGTGGGATTTGAAGCTGTCCTTCTGTGGTACCACTCCTCTCCCAACAGAATATTTGGCCATTTGGGGACTTCAAAAGCTCCAGGTAAACAAGGACAATTTCCAGACCAGTGTGTAACCATCTCCAGCAGCAGCAATAATGACAAAGACTTGCTTGAGGCACACAACAAAGACAGGCAAAAGCTTGCTCGTATTTCTTTTCTGGATACCTCAGTTTTCAATGGATATTCATTGCTGAAGTCATACAGTGTGGAAAACGTCTCTAGTATCATAAAGCACTTTCCCAGCCTGCTGTACTTAGATGTTTTCTCAACCTCAGACAATGAGAGCTATGTTGTAACATTCATTTACTGAGTAATTTAACGCAGTCAGTAGTAAGAGGCATGGGAGGCTGCAAAGAGTGATGGGATGCTTTTAAGTCTGTCCTGGTTTGTCTAGGAGGATGCACAAGGGGACTGTGAGAGAACTCTACAAAGAGGTGTTTGATGTAAGAGATTCATCAGATTAATTCAGCAAACACTTTCTTAAAGAACAAAGTAAATGTGAAACTACTGTTTTCCAAAGCACTGTTAGAATTTTTTTGTTTATATATTCTAAGTCGAGAATTGAAATCTGCAGATAAATTTTGTTTTAAGGTTGTGTCTCGGACAGAAAAGGCATAATCATATAGTTCCCACTGCAGAAGAATCCAAGACCCCCAGAGAACCACTCAGGTTAGATTGCAGCTCAGCAGGTAAATTCACGGTTGTTTTACAAGGTGCAATCTACTCCCATTATGCTCAGCGATTTAGGAAACAGGTATGGGACTTCCCTCTGTGAAGCAGGTATTTCCCTGCATCTGTCCTTTCTTCCTTATTTCATACATAATCTTTATTTCCAGATCACAGAATACTCTGGGTTGGAAGGGACCCACAAGGACCAGCAAGTCTAACCATTAAGTGAATGGCCCATACTCTCCACTGGACCACTTCAGCTGATCCATATTTTTCCAGGGAGAGGCTGCCACCTGCATGACGGATGTGCTGACACCTGCAATTCCCTAAATGCAGGGAGCTTCAACTTTTGTGATAATGGCAAACTGGTCATGTTCTCCCATAAGAGAGAGTAGAAATACCCCATACAATGAGTCTCATCTGACAAGGGAGGCGAGGCTTCAGGCAGACAATTTTCAGATGTGTTGCAGGAGAAAGGTTGTCATCCCCTGAAAAACATATACCAGGACTGTTAAAATAGCTCAAAGTCTGCTTCTTGCCTGTGTCTGCAGGTTTTGAATTCTGTGAGATACGACTAAGGCTGTATCCATCCATATAGTACAATAAAGGCTTTGAAATAGCAAGTTGTAAGAGCTTTGCATTCCCAGCAATGGATTACATGAAACTGAGACAAAATACAAGAAAACTTCAGCCCAGAGAAGCTGTGGCTGCTCCATCCGTGGAAGTGTCCAAGGCCAGGGTGGATGGAGCTTGAAGCAACATGGTTTGTGGAAGGTGACCCTGCCTATGGCAGGGGGGATTGAACTGGGTGGTCTTGAAGGACCCTTCCAACCTAAACCACTCTGAGATTCCATGATTCTCTGTGCACTTAGGGGAATGGCTATCAAGATTCTGAGGAACCAGTGAAGCTGCTGCAGTTTTAAAGAAAGGTTATTTCTATTTTAAATAATTATATTGATATAACTGTAATCAATGATAGATCAGTTTTGCAAGGAAGCAAAACTTAATTTTTCAGAAGACTTAAATACATGTCCACCCCCCATTACTTTGAACCTGTGAGCTTTCCCTCTGAAATCAACAATGTGCTAACGATGGAATTAATGGGATCTATTTGCAATTGCAAATAGATTTAAGCACAGTGGTGTTTACAAGCTGGGTACAGAACTCCATTTAACTAAGCCAGAGAACAATTGAACCAGCTGTTGTAAAGATGTAGTTTCCTTTGTCAGCACCTTGGCAACAAACCATAAGACTTTTTCTCCAAATTACAAATACTTCTAGTGATACCTCTCATGACTGTCTATTACAGACATAATTCATGTCATCTTCCCAGGAACTGCCTTCTCCAGCTGTATCTGCAAGGGAACTAACCTTGCCTTCACGAACTTGAAGGCAGTACACATACACAAATATATTGATTTCTAAATGTTACCAAGGCTTTCTCCAAAATCTGGAAAAATTAAACCTTGATGATCTTCAGCAAAGATCTGCTGCCCTCTGGTAAAAAATGTGCTGAAGTCACATAATTCCCCATTACCACAACTGTGATGTCTAAAAATTCACACATGCAGCAGTAGCTGAGGATGTATGTATTCTGGCCTTGGGAAGAAACAAGGTTAATAGTCCATTGGCTTTCTAACAGAGCAAATTAAATTGCCAGTTACTTTTGCCACTGTAGTGTTCTGAATAAGGCTGCTGCAAAAGACCTTTTATTCCAGTACCCAAGCAACCACTGCAGGATTTTTTTTCTGGAAAGAGCAAAAAATCCTCAACTACAGAAATCCACAGCTCCGATATTGTGGAGATCTTCCCAAAGGCCCTATTCGGCCCCAACGGATACCAAGAACCTGATCCTCCCAGTTCTATTTTATATAGATTTGCCCTATGCAAGTACTGCATTAGAAGGTCGCAGCGTTTTTCCACAGCAATGTCTCTAAAATACGTGTATGTCTGGTGTAATAAAACAAACTTTGTAAAATAAACTCGTCTCATACGATGAATCTTTTCTTTAATATAACTCACTTTATATTTACATTACCCGGCCCTCCTCTTCCTCCCTCCCTCCCTCCCCTTTCCCCCTTCCCGCCCGGATCGCGCTGCTCTCCCGACGCAAGATGGCGGCGGCCGTGAGGGGGTAGCGGGGGCGGGCCGGGCCGCTCGAGCCCGCTCCGCGCGCTCCCCGGCGCGCAGGCGCAGTGCCGCGTCCTCCGCCCGTCGGTAGTGGAGCCGGCGGCAGGGGGCGCTGCGGGCGGCGGTGCCATGCTCGCGGGGCCGGGCCTGGGCCGCGGCGCGGGGCGGCTGAAGCGGGCGGCACCGGGGCCTGGCGGGGCTGCCGGTCGGTGCCCGGCGGGATGTTCCGCAAGGCGCGGAGGGTGAATGTGCGGAAGCGGAATGACTCGGAGGAGGAGGATGAGGAGCGCGACGAGGAGCCGCCTCAGGAGCCGGCGCCGGCTGTCGGGGCGGCGGGGGAAGGGCCCAGCGAGGCCGCCATGCCGCTGGCGTCGGGTGCCGGGCTTCTGCCGCTGCCCGCCGGCTGCGTGCCCCTCTCCCTGCCCGGCAGCCCCGCGGCCTTCGCCTGTGCAGCGAGCTACGGCGCGGCTCTCGGCTTGGGGCTGGGCTTGATGGGAAGCGACCGAGCAGGCCTGGGGGTTCTGCCGGCGCCCGCTGTCCTGCGCCCTCCTCCGCCGCCGCCGCAGCCCCAGCAGGGCAATGGGCTGCCGGCGGCCGGGCGCCCCAAGGAGAAGAAGCGTTCGCGGGAGAACAAAGAGGTGCCGAGGGCCAGCCTGCTTAGCTTCCAGGACGAGGAGGAGGGTGAGGCGGGTCGTTGCCTGGCTTTTGGGTAGCTTCTTGCGGGAGTGGAAGGGACCTGGAGTTGCTCAGCCTGCACTGGGCCTCCCCCGGCCCTCCAAGAGAGTTGGGATCAATATTTATTTCTTATGGCGGTTCCCCCGTATGGCGTGCGGTGATGTGGGATCACGTAAGAGGGGGCGAGCCCTGGGGGCACGGTACGGGCGGCCAGGGATGCCCGCGCCTTCCCCGGCCCGACCTGGCTCCTGCGGAGCCATCATGCTCCCAGCGGGCTTAGTTGTGATGTAGGGGTTCAAATTGCCTCTGCTTCTGTGTCGCTGGTGCATCACCTGTGCTGCGTTCACTGCCCCTGGGTAGCCCGCAGGTTTGTGCGGGAGTAGGTGCAGCCCGTAGTCTTCCCCTGGAGCCAGCAGCACTGGCTGAGGAGCATGTGTCCTGTGGCTTTATGTCGAGTTTGTTTTAGTCTGATGTGGCTGGTGTTCATGGGTCCCCTCGGACTCACTGCCTGTTGTCCGAACAATTCGTATAGTTTTGAGTCGTCTTGGAAGGAATTCTCTTGAAATCACTGAAACTTTTTTTCTCAGACTCGTGATTTGAAATCTTGATGGAAATACTGAAAGCGTAGAATAAGACTTTGACTATAGACTCTGAAAAAACCCTACAATGTTTGTTAATGGCAATTTGTGAAGTTCCAGGTACAAAATTAAGAGATTTAGCTAGTAAGTATGCTTGAGAGATCTAATGAATGTAATGTTATCCAATTTCTCTTTTAAAGAAACTGAAGAAGTTTTCAAAGTGAAGAAATCAAGTTACAGCAAAAAGATTGTAAAACAGTTGAAGAAAGAATACAAAGAAGATCTTGAAAAATCAAAAGTTAGAACAGAGGTCAATTCTCCAACAGATGGTAACTGCAAAACTAATAGTAACTTTTGTAGTGGAAGAGCTTAAGTACTGTAATTTAATTTCTTGTTTTCAAGATGGATCGTTAGTCTTCTAGAGGATTTCACATTTAGAGCTGAAGTAAAGCACAGATGAAATGTGTTACATGAGCCTTAGGAATGCTGTTCTGCAGTTGGTAGAGAGTTCTTTGATTCTCATGTAGAAATTAACATAGAAGGATGGAACTTCTCAGCTCTGTTATATGGTTGTCAAATAGACATCAATATTCTGAACTGCAGCTGTGTTTATGACAGATGAGTTACTTATTGAATTAGGAAGGAATTACATTAGTTTGAAAATGTTTCTGGTGCTTGTCTGACAGAATGTGCCCTTGTAATGCATTTTCTTTGAAGAGGAAGATTGTTGGGGTGAGCAGAGTGGTGGTCTTTGTTATTAATTGTTCAAGAGCTGCTTGTTTCAGGACTTGAACCTTTGAGTAGATAACAGACCGAAAGTGTTGGAGCAAAAGGATCTGTTAACAATGTACAGTCCTTGAGAGCTTGAAGTAGAGCCTGGGACCTCAGTTTCATTGTACTGTTGGGTTTTGGGAAGCTTATTGGTAAAGTGTAGTGGTTGCTTTTCCACTTAAGTTTTGACTTGGATTATATAATACTACTAGCTCGAGCTGGGAGGCTTGTGATCTAAAGATTGCAATGATCTAGAGAAGCACATGGGGGTTGAACATGGTCCCATGCAGGAAATATTTTTAAATTTTTAAATTTAATTAAATTATTTTTAAAGGTTTTGCCTGCATTTAGAAAACCCACAGATTCTTATTAGAATCCTTTAAATTGCCTATGCAGTGACGTGGGGCATGAGCAAAATCAGAAATTATAATTTCTGTGGCTAATGTTTAGTTCATCTGTGAAAACCTGGATTCTTGCTTCTGTCACA